TGAGGAGTAATACGGCTTTCACACAGTACTGGTCAGAACACTAGGGCTATATTTCCACTATTGTCTCATTAAGATCTGGAACCCTGCAGAAGGGTCACCAGCACACAGCTCTGGTGAGTGTGGTCTGACAGAAACAGTGTGAGCTCCTTGCAAACACTTCAGCCGTTAACTGTGTAATTGGATTCTTACAAAAGTTTGAATACCTTGTTCCAGTCTTAAATGAGCTGGAAATCTAAAATGCTGATGTGTATTTTCCTGGAAAATGCTAAAATGATGATGTAGATACACCCTGAGAGTTCTAGGAGCAAAACCTTGCTCGACAGAAGTTAAATGGGAGTTTTGCCATTAACTACAGTGGGGTTAGGGTTTCAACCTAAGTCACTTCTAGTGGTAATTGTCAGGAACAATTTTGCATGGATTTTCTCTGCAGTTAAACACAAGTCAGGTGTGTCTGAACCAGGGCAATAAAGACAGATACTGTAGCATTGCCTAAATTCTAATTAGAGCTTCCTTGACAGCTCAGCTTCCCTACAGCTACCTCATATACCATCTAGTGATCCAGCAAGGAACTGCAACTTGTAGTGTTTGTGACACATGGAAATAAGAACAAACTAATTTTGACAATTTAGTGCCAATTCTTCCTAAAATAAAGTGTAACCTCTGTTTTAATTTTAATATCTGACATGTCCTCTGTCTGGGGACTAAAGAGTTGCCAACTCTTGTGATTTTGTCATGAGTCTTGTGATATTTGGTGATTGTTTTCAGAGTCCCAGCTCCTGGAGACATGTGATTGAATTACAATGTCAGCTATTATTCAAATAAAAAGTAAGTGACCTCACATTATCCTTATCAATAGAAGTTGGCATCTCATTAGTGCTTGATCCAGGTCTTTTCCATTGCTGAGGGTTACAAATGGTTTATGGTCTGTTATCAGTGTAAATGAATCCAATCCACACAGATATTTGTAAAAGTTCTCACAGGGAAAAGGATGTGGTGAGTGTTAAGCAACAGGGGTTCAGAAAACAAATATGTCAGATATACAATAAAAATATAGCTTTGGGGCTAGCAAAAACCAACCAAGGATTCCCCCCGATGCAGGGGAAACCTTGAGTGGTGCATAGCCAGCTATACATCTCTTGCTTCCCCTCACTTCCACGTAGGGAGTATGTTGAAGGTGGCGAGGTATGGCCAAGGAGTGGGACAGAGTGCACTGTACTCACCCAATCTTCGGCAGGCACAGCATCTGGCTGCAGCCAGCATAATTTAGAATAGCGCTTAGAGCAGCCACTTTGACACCCTAGAGCCACTTTGACCCCTAGAGATAATAGTAATAAATAGTGCTCCAACAGGCACAAAAAAAAAAGGCATGACCACAACATATGAACCAACCATAGGTGACAAAACACAAAAAAGAATGGCCTCAAGGGTATATGAAACTGCTTTTGTGGTGTTGTATAAGACCTATTTTACATCTTATACGTAATAAACAGAATTTGCTATTAAGAAAGTTTGTTGATGCACTAGAACAAATCACCTTTTCATTCTCTTTTTCCTATCTAACTATATATGGGCCTCATCACTTTAGTCTAGTTCCAGGCCAATGGTCCAGTGTGGTATTTTAGGTATCTAGTTTTGGTATAGTTTGGATATAACTATATAACAATATGGAATATAACAAACAGGAATGTTTGTTCTGTAGTGAGGGTTGAGATATATTTTGCATCTCACAGTGAATCTTAAGGGTAGATCCACAGCTGGTGTCAATTGTCATAGCTCCATTGAAAAAAGAAGAAGAGGAGGACTTGTGGCACCTTAGAGACTAACAAATTTATTAGAGCATAAGCTTTCGTGGACTACAGCCCAATACTCTGAAAGCTCCATTGAAGTAAATGGAATTATGGCAATTTACAGCACCCAAGGATCTTTCCCTTAATTTTCAATTTCAGATTTTCAGTTTTTTTCCTATGAAGCTGTATGCATTAATAGTAATTTTGCTTTCATTAATTAGGTCCCTTAAGGGTCCTGACCTGCTATACTTTTCTTAGGTCAAAGTTCCATCAAGTTCAATGGGAATTTGGCCTCATTTAACAACTACAAGATCAGGTTCTGGTTGAGCAAAGGATTAAGTCTATTGTTGCCGAAAAAAACCATTACCAGTAAAAGTATTTATTTGTTTAATTTCCAACTATTATTTGGCTCAGGCTGACAGGAAGCACTTTATATAGCAATACAGGCTGCCACATTAACATCTCCTTGGATATAATTATGTCAAATTTTGTTGAATAGTGCTAATGATATATAGGACTTTCTCAAATCTTACAAGAGTTTGGTGATTTAAAAAAATCTTTGAATTTTTGTTTCAAACTCTTTAGTATCCTTCGGTTATCTTTCTTGATGAGAGATAAGAGACAGATACTGATTTTCCCCCAGTGTCCTCATTTTCTGGTGTAAACTGGGTGTTATCTTCAAAAAAGTGTGGCCTAAAAGCTTTGTGGTCTATCAAGCTCTGACTGCATATTCTGAAGTGTATTCAAAATATTCTTAGTTACATTTGTTAAACTTTTAGTTCTGCCAAGATTTGTTAAGTGAAGGGCAAATGATTCATGACCTACTGCAGGCTATATGTTATGTGAAGTTGCACTTACTCTTACCAGTTCAACATTTACCAGTCTTCTGTTGCAGAGAGGATGTTTGTAGAATAGACTTCTCGGTCCTATTTGACAACAGGAACTAAACACAGTATCCTACATTTTTATTGTCTCATTGGTTTGAATAGGATCAACTGAATTTTACACCCATTTAGAAAAAGTGTGGCTGTCCTTTGCATGAATTTCTCCACCCTCACTATATGGCTATCACCTTCTACTCCAAAGATGGTAATACTTCAATGGTACTGTATGCATAGAGTTTGTAAGGTGCGGTCATTTGGATTGAATGGTCCCATGTCTACACTGGAAAAACTAATCCCCAAATTCTCACTAGTTCTAACTTTTGATTCAGGTGATGTGATGTTAAAGCTGGTCTACAAAGGGTACTGGTGGCTGGAAGGTTTTGCCACAAATTTAGTTAAATCTGCTGAAAAAACAGTCTAATTGGTTTAAAAAAAAAGTTCAAGATGCTGGAGTCTTGCCTACATTGGCTCCCACCATATTCACTAGTTCAGCTGAACTAGTGTCAGATCTGATGGGAATTATTTTGATAAATTTCTCCAGTGCAGGCAAGGCTTTAGAGCCACAAACAGAAGTGGGCTAAAAATTCAAAGTCTGGATCTGAACCTCTCCCAAGCACAGGGTTGTTCAGATGTGGGGACAAATCATCCTAAAGACTAAGTATGGTGGCTGAGAAGCTCAGATTCAGAACAGAATTTCTCAAAATTTTAGATGTTTGGATCCATGGTCTGGACTCACAACTTCAGCATAAAATATTGTAACAAATCAGTTGCAATTTAGGAAATCTCCCATGGGAGTTGGGGCTGCCTAATGTATGCTGCATGCCAAAGCTGCTGAGAACTTCAGGGAGGCAATGGGAACAGAACTCATCTCCTTCTGCTGCAAAAATAGTACTTAAGCTAAAGGCAAGTTCCCTTTTGTAGTCAGCATTGCAGGACAGTATGGTATGGCAGGGGCTCCTGATCCCATCCTGCCAAGTAGCACTGTACAAACACACACATGTGCTTGCCAGTTCAGTAGTGTTATGATTGGTACAACCTCAAGTGCTCAAAAATCATGTGCTCCACCAATCTTGACTATGGTTTAAAAAGAATGAGATTTTAAAGCATAGTACATATGGGTACTTTTTATTTGGTTGTGGGGCTGTTATCGTGCTCTCAGGTTGTGTTTCGAAGCTATTCTCTGGCTAGAAATTTACCTCTTTTTAATAAAAACTGAGGTTATCACATAATCACTTCAGTTCAGGAGCTGCAGCTTTATGAAAGCCACCAAATACTGTGAAACTCAAAATAAAATTGTGAGCACTAGGATGCACTTCAGGACTCAGCCCATGTAATTTATAGCGCTGCTGATTTTCATTATGCAGCATAATTGTTAGATATTATTATATAACATTTATATTGCATTGGCACCTACAGCATTAACAAATTCTGGTGTGTGTAAAGAGGAGAGTAGTGAGTAGGCATGGGGAGGTGATTTTACCCCTATATACAGCACTGGTGAGGACCACAGTATACAAATCTGGTGCCCACGTTTTTAAAAGGATGCTGAAAAAATGGAAAGGTGCAGAGAAGAGCCACCAAAACGATCCAAGAGCTGGAGAAAATGCCTTATAGCGAGAGACCTGAAGAGCTTAGCCGATCCAAAAGACCACAGCGCACAACGAGAAAATACCGGGCCCACAGGGGCTCGCTAATCCAGCGGCAGGAATCAGGACAAGAACCAGGGGCTGGGAGCTCAAGCCGGACACATGCAACATTAGGTATAAAATAACAGTGAAGGGGAGTCACCACTGAAGCGAACTGCGAGCTTCTCCACCTCTTGCTGGCTGCAGAGCCAGGCTAGCTGGCCGCCCAGCTGGAAGATTCGCGTTGGCCAAACCCTGCAGGGCTGGGCGGGCGCAGCCTGCGCCGCCGCCCACGAGGTCAGACTCCGAGAGCAGCTGGTCCCCGCTGGCCTGCAGCGCTGGAGCATGAGGGCTGGGCTAGGTCCTGTGGGGTCCCCGCCGCCGCAGGCCGCAAGGGGGAGCCGGGTCTGCGTAGGGGCGGCCGGCCGGCTCCGGGCTGCTGGGCACAGGCTCAGACACATTCCGCAGCGCTCCCCGCGGTGCGCGCCCCAAGGGCCGCGCGCCACCCGCCGGGGCCTAAGCAGCAAGAGGGAGCGCGCGGCGGACACGCGCAGCAGTAGGAAGATGGTTGTGAGTATTGTAGGCTGGGGGTCTCCCCAGAGAGACACCGCGGGGGAGGGGCTACTTGGCCGCGCGCCAATGGGGGGGTCTGGTTTGTCACCACCCCCTCTTAGGCTCCCCCCCCGCCCCGGTGCGTTCCTCCTCCCCTCTGCGCGCTGACGTCGTCGCGTCTCGTTCTCTCGGCGGCTGGAAGCGGCGGCGGCAGGTGACGGTGGCTCGGGCGGCTGTTTGCTCGTCGCTCAGCGGTGAAGGCACGGAGCAGCGCGAGCCGGGCCCGCGGGTGAGTCCGTGACGCCGCCGCGTTCTAGATCCCGCCGCTCGGGCGCTTGCGCGCGCCCGCGGGGGGGATAGTCGGGGGGTTCCGCTCACCCACCCCGCGGGCTCCTCACAGCGGCTCCCACTGGGGCCTCCCCGCCCCGGGGGCTGGGGCGGATGCCGGGGCCGCCGTGCGGGGCCCTGGACAAAAGGCCACAGAGCCCCCGGGGTGGGGCGGGTGGTAACTGCCTACGGAGAAGCAGGAGCCCGCCCGCCCCTCACTCGGAGCGGGGCCCGCACCGCTTTGCCGGGTAGGAGCGGGGCGGGCAAAGCCCCTGGCAACCACCCACCCGGGGGAATCGGCTGCGTTGTTTGGCAACTGCGTAACCCCTCGGTCACGTGACGCCGGTGTCCTTCCCCCTCCCCCCTGGAACTGTGCTAATTTATCCCCCTCGCCCCCTTCCGAGCTCAGCCCGGGGGTGGGGGCGGGGGCAGCGCATCGGGGAAACTTGACCCCGCTGAACATTTTATTTAAAAAAAAAATCGTAAACCATCAAACTCGCAGTAAATTTATAATTTATCCACGAGCTTTGAAAACCCTCTGGGGAGGGGACCTGTGTCTCCTGACAGGTGGGAAGCCCAGGGTGGGGTGTGATGTAACTAGGCTTGGGAGAAATTTGTTGTTGTTGTTGTTTTATGATTTGCACGGATAATACCCATGTCTATTTTTCTGCATATTTTATTGATTTAAATTTTCATGGTTGTGGGAAATTATAGGTAGTCAGACGGGTTCAGACAATTGTTTAGTGACAGTAGACACTGAGATTCAAGAAGTTATGTTTTTATAACTTAAAACACAAATTGTCAACATCACATGTCAAAACATAAAACCTAAATGTTCTCAAATCAAGCTCTAAGAATGTCTCAAGGAGCATTTTTCTCATTTTGTCTCTGTAAATTTCAGTTATCACGGATGGAACTATTTTTCATGGGTTTATGTGTATGGTGAAATTGATGTTTACCAACATTTACTGATAAAAATCTTACTTCCAAGCTTAGATATAAGTAATATCCAGACATTTGAGAAATAGCTGATCATCTTTCATCCGAATCTTGCATTCATGTGTCTTTTGATGACTTCACACAGGATTATTTTGCTTTGTTTTAGGTATTTGTAGTGTTTTCCACAGTTTCTTCTGTGGTTGGGTATTTTGAACAGTTAGTGGAGGCAGAATTGACTTGTAAATATTAAAATATATCTAAGTTTCAATACTCTAGACCAGAGGTCCTCAAACAGTGGGGCGTGCCCCCATAGGGAGGCACGGAGGAATGTTGGGGGGGAGGGGAGAAGGGAGAGGGCATGGCTGCTCCTCAGAGCAAAGGGACTGCCTAAGTGTGAAGTATTAATTTTTAATATCTTTTAAATAATGCTGTGCAGTATTTTGTCTATCCTGTTTTCAAAATGTCATCTCTGTAGCTTGTAACTTCCATTATTGTAATAAAAAACTGAGCTAGGAAATTATATCAAAATGCTTAAGGTACTTTAGGAGGTCTAAAAAGGGGGCACCCAAAAACTTTTAGTGAAAATGCTTTTTTTGGTAACTAATAGTTTGGGCCCTGGGATTTCCTTGCATTGTTTTTAGCGAGTTTAAATGGAAGATGAAAATAGATCTGTGGCCCAGTTTTTGGTACAAAGAACAGATGACACAGCTTCTCCACTGAAACTAATAGACTACTAGGAATATCTGGTAAATATAATTTTTATCTAAGAGCAACAGATAGTAACCTATATTGGCATGATCTAATAAATTGAAAGTGTTTTTAGTTCACAATAAAAACGATAAAATGTTTACTCTTTGACTGAATCTCATGGTAATCTTCCTATTTTGCGGACTGTAAATGTTGTAGTTTATTTGCTTGTCTGCTAAAACAAATTCCAGACTATTTAGTAATCGTTAGGAGGAATAAGGTACAGTATTTATTTTTGTGTTTCTCAAATTTGATATCTTAAAGGAAATATTGCAATCAAATACAAGTTTGAAAACAAAAGCACAGATGCAGCAGTCAAGTGTTGACAGTTTGTTTAAAACTGGTCTTTGGAACTGCTCTCGGTCAAAATGAGAGTAAATCTGACTTTTATTTACTGATAATTTTGCAGCAATTTACTCTACTATCTGTTGGACAGAACTAAATTGCTAACAATTACAGTAGTCGTAAGAAATAAAAAATGCTACTCTGACTTTATTGATATGGTGCAGAATCTGTGCTGAAGGAAGGAAGGAAATTGTGCCCGTTTTTTAACAAATATGTAAATCAATTGATGAAATATTGTTTAACTTGCATCTTCAAATTATGCAGCATCAATTTAGCTGTAATCGAACGGTCAGTTAACAAGATGGAACTGCAGAATTTTCAAAGCGTACAGGAACAATTGACTTCTAGAATTGGTGGTAGAAAGCCAACTTAACAGAATCATACTCTTTCTCTGCTGTGCATTTTAATCAAAGTTATAAAGGTGTTGCTGTATCCAGCACCTGTCTTTACGCAGCAGTGGTAATTTGGGGCCCGAACCTGCTTCCACGGACATCACTGGCAAAATTCCTGTTGGAGTTAATGAATATTATATTGTTTTAGTTATGAATGGTGAATCAAAGTTTAGATATATTAGAAATAAGTCCATAGTAGGACTATTAAATTTGGCAGTTGTTTATCCTTTATTAGAAATAATCTTCAACTATGTTAAGGGCCGTTCTAAAGAGGACTGTGTTCAATTGTTCTCCATGTTCACTGAAGGTAGGATAAGAAGTAACGGGCTTAATCTGCAACAAGGCAGAGTTAGATTAGATATTAGGGAAAACTTTCTACCTATAAAGGCAGTTAAGATCTGGAATAGGCTTCCAAGGGAGGTTATGGAAACCTCATCATTGGAGGTTTTCATGAACAGGTTGGACAGTCACCTGTCAGGGTGGTCTAGGTTTACTTTGGTCCTGCCTGAGTACAGGGGGCTAGACTTGATCACTTCTTGAGGACCCTTCCAGCTCGACGTTCCTATGATCCTGTGAAATTGAAACTTCTGTAACGCATCTGTCCTAACTGGGCTTAGAATTCAGGTTCCAGTTGTAGCAGAATAAGAGGAGGAAAACTTTTATTTTTAACATCTCTTCACCAGTTTTGTTAAAAATGTTTGACCATTTTATACTAATTTTTTTCCCAGTGATACAGTAGTGAATGGATATATCTGCTAACTAAACATCAGCCCTTTTTATTAACTGATCATGGAATGCATAAAAGGACTCTATCAACTTGAAATCTAATCACATCATTTATATATCTATATCTATTTATAGATATAGATATATAAAATCTTTCTAATCACTAATATAGATATATTTTAAATCTTTCCCACTGCTTTGCATTCACGCAAACATGGGAAAGATGGTTATATGGGGGAGACAGTGAAATTGTCTGTCACAGTGTGCTGTCAAATGCACAAAGAAGACAAACTAATTTCAGTTATAGTAATATCATGTGTTAATTGTAGCAATGGCAGGTAACAAATTTTCAGACGGAAGTATAATTTTCATTTTTTAAGTTGGAGTATCTTAAAAAAATTCTGCAATTTTTGTAACTGCTTCATGAGTATTAAGCAGAGGCACTATTCAGACAGGGGTTTGTTTGACTTCTTTTGAGTCAGGGAGCCTAATGAAAAATTCTAAAATTGGCTTTTGGTAGAGCCAGCTGTATTTACAGAAGAAAAGTTTATATGTATCTTAAATTACATTTATTGACAAGTTATTGAATGAGGATTTCATATCTTTTTAAGCATACAGGGGCAATCTTAAATCTTAATTTTATGAATTAATGTCTTAATTGCATTAATTATTTCAGAGTACTCTGTGTAGTGGTACAGTACTCGCAAGGTTGGCAGTACTGTTTAATACAAGGCTTTAAACATCCACTAGCCTTTGGCAAGCAGGAAGCTTTCGTGCTATCTGCTTTTGCAAAATATAAGCTTCTATCTGGAAATAAGCTTCTATCTGGCCCTTATGACTGTGAAGATCACCTTCCAAATATGAACAAAGTAGAAACTGAAAGCTCTGTCTTCCTAAATCCGCAGATTTTTAGTTCCTCTATTGCTGTTCAGAACTCCAAAGCAGCATCCAAGCAAAAACTGACCAGAGCATTCCCGGTCTTCACTGCTGTTAGAGAGTACTCTGTGGGCAGCAGTTAAACTGACAAGAATAATCAATTTTCTTCTGTTTCAATTTGGGAAAAGCTCTGAGCAGTAGAGGAGGGTGCCAAAATCAGATGCAGGGTGGGATGATGGTTTTGTTGGGAGAACCCCACCATCACTCTTGCAACAACCAGACGGGCTTTGAAGGATGCAGGAGACACCTGCTAGCCAGACACTTCAAAAGATGGAACCCCTGAGTATAGACTATGGACATCAGTTTGGTAGAAATCCCAGCACCTTTCACTTTCACAGCAGCTGGTGTGGGATGTGGCTGTCAGCTGGATGTTGCTCCTGGCCATTGGAGCTGCTCCTCTAGTTTAATAAATAATTTGGCTGTTAGGTGTTGAATAAATGTTTCAGCCCCTGTGTGTGAGATGATTGGTGAATGAAATGAGGTTTTATGTGTGTAATGGGAGAGTTGGGTGTGGTACAGGTGGGGAAGAGAATGTTAGGTGCATAGGGTGAGAAATTACTTTAAAACATACAGAAATTCAGAGCAGGGGCAGTTTGGGGAAGGGTGCAGGTTTCAGCCCAGGGATCTTTCATCCTGGCTAGGTAAATTTTTCAAGTCTTGCTTAATGTAGAAATAACAGTTTAATGAAATGTAGAAGTTTCCTGAAGTCAGTTTCTGAAGTAATTCATTTTAAAGGTACAGAGCAGTTAAAAAGCTGCTTTACCGTAACCTTATAATTATATCCCTGATGAGATTTTTTTTTTTTTTTTTTTAGGGATAATTACACTCCCAGAGCATACTCTTTTGAAAAGGACTCATTCAGAATTGAAAGACCTGACTTATTTTCCTTCTCCCCACTCCACAGTTAATTAATGTGGGTTATGATGTGTATCATCACCTCTGACAGTGGATTCGGAAAAGGGTTAGACAAAAAGCTTCTTTAAATGAGATGCAGCAGCCGTAATTCAATGCCAGCTTCTGAAAGGTGATAGATCAACACCACACCCAGGGCCTTGAGCTTTGTTACAACTGACTCTTTGGTCACAGTAAACCCAATATCTTGTCTGTTGGGCTGCTTAAGGAGGAGCTGAAATTTTAACACTGTTGCAGCTCTTCTTTTTGGAAGCTAATGGGTGGAGGAGGTGGGGGGATGACCAGAGACACTGAAAACAACCTTTGCCTTTAAAAGGGTGTGAGGACATATGTTGAGGCCTGTTGATCTTGGCAATATTCCTTAGGAATAATTTCTAAAATGTCCCATACTCAGCTGTAGCCAGATAATAACTTTAGTATGGCCGTTTATTACTCAGACACGTTAACTAAAAAGTCATCTAAACATTTACAGTCTGCTGTTATCAATGATGTATGTTCTACAATTATGCTAAGTATTCAGCTCTCTCTCGGGGACCTATCACTTTTTAACTTCACTCTGCTGCATACATATGAGTCAGATCTGGGCACTAAAATTTCACTGAAATAGCTCTTTTCTTGAGTGAATGGAAACATATGACACTTCCTCACGTTCACTTTAAAATGAACCTCAGATGTAATACATGATGCAGAGGAGGAATGTATAACTCATAGGCATAGGTAAGGCAACGGTTTAGTCAGGGTATTTTTAGTAAAAGTCATGGAGAGGTCATGGGCAATAAACAAAAATTCACAGCCCGCAACCTATCCATGACTTTTACTAAAAATACCGATGATTAAATTTGGGAGAGGGCAACCAAGGCCAGCGGCACCAGCTGCCGGGGCCAGCGGACCACAGCTGCTCCGGCTGGTCAGCTGAGGACTGCTGCCCGAGGCCATGGCTGCTTTGGCCGGCCGGGAACCACTGTTGCTCCAGCCGGCTGGCCAGGGACCAGTGCCCAGAACTGCGGCTGCTCCAGCCAGCTGCCCGGGGACCGCTGCCGTGACTGCCGGAGCAGCGGCTGATGTGGCTGTCCCGGGGGCCAGCTGCTTTGGCACCGCTGAGGTCAGCCACACTGGCCCCTGCGGAAGTCCCGGAGGTTGCAAAAAGTCACGGAATCCATGACTTCCACGAGCTCTGTGACAGACACGGAGCCCTACTCATAGGACTGGTAATGCTTTAGAGCACGAGTAAGGCTGTGTATATGCTGCCACTTTCAGCGCTAAAACTTTTGTCGTTCAGGGGTGTGAAAAAACACATCCCTGAGCAACAAAAGTTTTAGCGCTGAAAAGCGCCAGTATAGACAGTGTGATAAAGCTACCACTGCTCGTTCTGGGTTTTTTTTATCTCCGGGAGAGCTCTCCCCTGGCGATAGTGTGTCTATATTGCCCACATTACATCACTGCCGTGGCCGCGCTGTAACATGGGTAGTGTAGCCATACCCTAAGAGTTATCAACTATTTCCATATTTCATCTCCCTTTTTTAATAGTAAGACCTCTCTTGATCCCAGTTAGGGCATGGGAACAATGTGATCTTGACACCTTGGTATCATTTTGTGACCTCGGGAGGGGGAGGTTGCAGATCCCTGCTTTAGAGTTATTAGAGTCACTGCTTCAGTTCCAGCTTTTATCATTAGTAAGACAGTTATTACCATCTGATGGCTATTTGCAATGTGTGATTTGTTCAGCAGAAACTAGACTGACACTAATTCATGTCACACAAGCCAAAGTATATCATGACTGGCATTAACTGGTACCCTTGGCACTTTGAAGGAGGCATTTGACTAAATGGTTATGGAAACTGAATTACCTTCTCATCCTCTCTCACAAAATGCATACATGCAATTTATAATGAATGAATCCCAAAACATTTTATGAATGTTAAAGCCCCTCTGCCTTCCCAAACTCCCTGAGTTTAAGAAGGGACTTGTGATTGAGCACACAACTTCCTAGAATTATGCAATGTGTCGAAAGGCTTGGGAAGTAGAGAGAGTACTATTAGGTATGAACATAGTTGCTCTTGTTTCTCCACTGCTTGCCAGTACATAGGAAGCAGCAGTCTTAAGAATCACTGTTCACCCGCAGTTACCTACTTCTTGTATACCAATGCAATTGCCTTTATAAATACCTTAGAAAGTGAGGTAGGTTTGTTGAAGTTTGATATCATAAAAGTGGATGACAAAATGCAGGCAGAAATTGGGGATTTTAAAACAAGACAACCACCTGTTTGAAAACTGTATTTCTAGATGTTGAAAATATCCTGCATAAAATGGTAAAAGAGGGTGGTATTCTTCTGTTTGCTGGAATGAGACCATAACACTGTATTTTGTTTGCTATTAGACTGCTAAATGAAAGGGAACTCTGTTCAGTGTTGCTCTAATAATGATGTTTTCTTTTCCTCAACTTGCAGAGAAGTTGAAACGCTAGTAGTGTTCCCTTGTGCAGAGCAGAAGAATGAGCCAACAGTGGAAAAGAGTACATTATATTCTGATTGGATACATTTGAAGAGGATAATTTTAGTCTTGTGGCATGCTTCAGCAGGAACCATACTAAAAAAGAAGTAAGCTCAACATCATTGTTTTATTATGTTAATTGACTTGCATTTATCAGTTATTTAAAGAGATACTGAGTTGAGGTTCAAAATCTGGCCTTTACCATTATTAACAAAAATAATTATCTACTTGGATAAATCCAGTTTCTCTCTTTGAAGGGACCCACAATGCCTGAAGGCTTTTTATCTAGATCTCCTGCATCACCTGTTCCAAATTTTGAGTGCTAATGAGGACTGTTCCAGACATACAATTTCACACATTCTTTGGCTGTATGTATGATTTAATGATAATACATTCCTATAAAAATAGGGGATAATAGGGACAGATGTCTGGCAGAAGTGTGGGTTGGGTCCATCTTAAGTGGTTTATTGCATTTCAACATGCATTGTTTAATGTGGTTCAAATGCCCAGTGTTCTTTGAGCATTCTTTTCACACCTGAATTTTTGGTCCAAATGTTTCAGATAGTTCATTTCAAAGACTGCTTTTAAAAAGAAAACTATGTATATTTTAGGCTGCTTTTTGCAACAGTGGTAAGAAACATAATTTTTCCTGTTTATCAGCCATTTAAAAAAGTGAAAATAGAGCTTAAGCAATTAAACATAAAGGCAGTCCTACAGATTGACCCCAATTAGTTGTTGATCAAACTTCAAAATAAAAAAAATTACCATTGGGCTAAGAACAAACATGGGAAATTTCAGCCCAGAGTAAGCTATCCTTTACTTATATGAGCACCTGAAAGTAAGCTTGGAATGAAAGTGCCTTCTGAACCATAACTTGACCATTGCTACTGTGGTCTCTAAATATTTTTTTCTCCTTTTGAAGTGCCATTTACTAATTTTAAAAACAAATATTTTTTGTTTGTCCTACTGGATCTGATTAATCAAGTAAACCCATAAAACATGATTATTTAAGAAAAAACATTAATGATAGGATCTTCTAAAAATGACATGCGTAGATGGCGTTGGTTTTATTGAATTTAAATGTTCTGGGGCCTAATTTGTGCATATGCAACTCCAGTTGACCTCAGCTGTTATAGGAACCAAGAAGCTGATTGGGCCTCTGGAGAAATGGATTAAACCTTCAGCCTTGTTAATTTAAAAAACAGGTTTTTATCCCTCTAAGTTATGGAATAACAGTGCTTGTTTGAATTTTGAGATAAGATTGTCGTGCCCTAGCTACCTGAAATCATTCCCCCCCAAATAATTGTCTTCCTCTTTTAGCTCAAGCCAAGTGAATAAGCAAAAAGTCCTAGATAAGCCAGTTCCACACTCGCAAGTCAAGAAACAGAATTTGATTAGTTTGGCAATCTCTTCTAGAGATTACACACATCTGTGTAAACTAGGAATGTCTCAGTTTCTCTCCTGAGAGCCAGCATTCCAAGACCGAAGGCAAATCTAGCTTCCCCCCCACTCCACCCCACATGCTTTCACATGGCAAGTTGGAAGTAACATAGGTTTAATGTTAGCTATAAATTAACTCATTTGAACCATTGATCAGAGTTTCTAAGTGCTAATGCTTTTTGCATTGCTATTACTAAATAGTGGGAACTTTGAATCTCCTGCCATTAGAGGTTACCAGTAAGTGCAATTTGTGGCACCAGAATTTGTGATTTTCCAATACCAGCTGCATTCATGCTTAGCGTTTGGCAGTCTCAGCTTTCTCTGAGGTGTTAATCAGGTGTGATATGAAACTTGTATAGAAAATTATTTATAAACAAAGGATGTTTAACTTCCTCCACTCCTCTAAAGAGAGGACAATTTTAAAAAGAGCATTCAGAAGGGAGTCTCTTGTAAAACTAGTAGGGAAATAAGAATCTTTACCTAACAGTCTTTCTGGACAGTAATACACCATTATGGAAGCTGCTGTTCCTGCTCTCCTCTTCAACTGTTGGCATATGGTAATCAGTAAAGGGTTTTTCTTTCAATTACTTCCCTGGGAAATACCAGCTTCATTACATACTGTGGGTATTCTGAGAAATCAGTAGCTTGTGTCCCTCTGTAATAAACTCTCAAGCACAAACACTAACTTGAATCTAAACAAATTCTATTCCAAAACATAACTTCAAAAGTCTGAGAAAGCTACAAAGCAAGCTAATTGGAGGAAAATCTGTAACACAACTGGTATAGTATCTTCTCAGATCATTCTAGGGTGAATCACTCAATTTGGCATATATTACTGTGCAGAAAGACAATTGCCAGATGGTAATTCTATTTCTGCATTTTGGCATGGCAATTCAGACACTATTACAAAGATTCCATTAATCTTTCCTCTTAGTTATTGATCTTGCCTAAGGGAGGGGGAAATTCTCAGATAAGAAACTGACATATAGGTGGGCACAGTTATCCACATGATCTCCTAAGTGCTCAAGTTGTGGTGCTTTTAGCACGCATAAATTGATGACCAGGAAGTGGTTTGAAGAGATTAGTGTCTGTCATTCAGAAGAAAATTATGACAATAGTACCCAACTATGTTACCTAGCAGATAGGGAATGCACTAAAATAAAAGGCCTGAGATGCTGCTACATACCTAATCCTTTTAAAATCCTTATCTGTGTCTGAGTTCCTCAGGGATTGCACATCCTCTGGGGAACAAGAGAGTTTCTTGGTTCCTGAAGGAGCCGAGTCCCAGGTAGTTTGATAAATTTCCTCAAGATAAACAATCTTGCTGTATTAGGAGGAAGATCGTGTCGAATTAGGATTCTCCCAAAGAGAGCACTTGAGATTCCACAACAGAATGAACAGGAAAGATCCCTTTATTAGTGTTCTCACCAATATTATTTTAACCCTTCAGGTAGTTTTTTTGGACTCATGGAAGCTATATGAAGGACCCTATCTAAAACTAGAAAGAGAGGTTTGATCTTCAGATTTGTATTGTCATGTAGCCTGCTTTGTGTCCTTAGTTCCCTTTTTCCTTTGAATTCTGTAGGGGATAAATAATGCCTAACAGTCTTTAGGCCTTTAACAGTTCTTTCCCCTTCTAACCTCACACAGCTTTCAAACTGGGTTCTCTCCACCTTCCCCCCCTGAAAATTCCTTAACATTAACTTTCTGAAATTTTCAAACCTTTGGGGTGTTTGGTTCTGAAAAAGAAACATTGCTCCAAGAGAGAGAGGGTCTGGTAGGCAGCAGTCTGTATATTGTAAAGAGGACTAGTATCAACCCTGAGGCAGCTAATACCTTGTTCGGAGGAGGGAAGATATTTTAAAGAACAGTTTTACTTTGAGAACACCTACCAAAGATGGTAGGCTGGAGAGGCAAAGTAGAAACCCACCCACTTGGGAAGGGAGGGTGGTACCTCAGGCAAGAAGGAGCTGGAATGGTATCTGTTGCAAGCCTAAATCTAGAGTTAATATGGTTGCCAACACGTGTCACTGCTAGCTACAGCCGTGTCTGGTAGGAATTATGATGCAGGTTCTCTCTGAGCACTCTACAACACTGGCTCTCAGCCAGAGGTACGCATACCCAGGGGGGTATGTAGAGGTCTTCCAGGGGGTACATCAACTCATCTAGATATTTACCTAGTTTTACACTAGGCTACATTAAAAAGCACTAGCGAAGTCAGTACTACCTAAAATTTCATATAGACAATGATTTGTTTATACTGCTCTATATACTATACATTGAAATTTAAGTACAATATTTATATTCCAATTGATTTATTTTATAATTATATGATAAAAATGAGAAAGGAAGCAATTTTTAAGTAATGGTGTGTTGTGACACTTGTATTTTTATGTCTTTTGTAAGCGAGTAGTTTTTAAAGTGAGGTGTAATTTGGGATTATGCAAGACAAATCAGACTCTTGAAAGGGTTGGGGTACAGAAGTCTGAAAAGGTTGAAAGCCACTGCTCTACAACACTCACCATTCATCACAAGTTACTTCTTTTGCCTGGGTGCCTAGCTGACTCTTGAGGGCTATTAGATGAGAGGAAGGAAGGAAGGAAAGTCCCTCATGAGAACATCCCATAGAGTGCTGTGGGGGTGGGAGAAGGCTACTGAATAGGTATTTCCATCTTCTATACTCCTGAGTTGATGCTCACGAGCATTATTAAGACAAGCCCTATAAGTTGCTTCATGTAGGTGCCTACAGGCAGAGCACTTCTTGAGGATTTTCTGGCATGAAAGCAAGATTTACAAACTTTCAGCTTCTGTTCATTTCTTGAAGAGGCCTACAAACAGCTGGCTGACTGAATGCACTCAAGCAGAGTATGCACGAAAGAAAATTCCTTATTGATTAGCTAACACCCTGCCTGGGAGCACAGAAGGAACTGCAAACCAATTAGTCTGAACTGGCATACTAAAACTGAAATAGACAACAAGGTTGGGATGCTGAACTTGGTATTTGGAAGCCATTGTTTTTGTTAATGTCCCTGAACTAGGGAACAGAATGCTATAATCTTTCCTAAAGATATGCACCTATAAAACTTAAATATTTTAAAATGTTCAGTTTGTTTCATATCTGATTGTCCGAAAGTTTAACTTCATGGAAAGCTTTTCTTTCTTCTGTGGTTAGTATTGTCTTAGGTGAGTTAAGGTACTGATTTGGCTTAATACTTATAACCTGACTTAAATCTATTTCTGATTCTTTGTAGGATGGCTGGCTGTGGTGAAATTGATCACTCGATCAACATGCTTCCCACTAATAGGAAGACAAATGAGTCATGTTCCAATACAACACCTTCCCTGACAGTCCCTGAATGTGCTATCTGTCTGCAAACGTGTGTCCACCCAGTGAGTCTGCCTTGTAAACATGTTTTCTGCTATCTGTGTGTGAAGGGAGCTTCCTGGCTTGGAAAACGATGTGCACTGTGTCGGCAAGAGATTCCTGAGGACTTTCTTGACAAGCCAACCTTACTATCGCCAGAGGAACTCAAAGTGGCGAGCAGAGGCAATGGGGAATATGCTTGGTACTATGAAGGTAGAAATGGTTGGTGGCAATATGATGAACGTACCAGTAGGGAGCTGGAAGATGCCTTTTCCAAAGGTAAAAAGAGTACTGAAATGTTAATTGCTGGGTTTTTGTATGTAGCAGATCTCGAAAACATGGTTCAGTATAGGAGAAATGAGCATGGACGTCGCAGGAAAATAAAACGGGACATAATAGATATACCAAAGAAGGGAGTGGCCGGGCTTAGGTTGGACTGTGATTCTAACACTGTCAATCTAGGAAGAGAGAGCTCTGCTGATGGCGCAGACAGTACATCGGCTCTGGGGGCTGCTGCTGCGCAGCCTCTAGCATCCGTTTCTGCTAGACCCCTAACTTCACTAGATGGTCAGCTGACGAGTCCTGCAACGCCATCACCTGATGCAAGCACTTCTTTAGAGAACTCTTTTGCCCACTTACAAATAAACGGAGACGACATGGCTGAAAGAAGTCATAGGGGAGAGGGAGAGGAAGACCATGAGTCATCGTCTTCTGGTAGGGTGCCAGCCCCTGATACCTCCGTTGAGGAAACCGAATCGGATGATAGCAGCGATAGTGAGGATGTGTATGCTCAACTTCAGCAACACACGTCCTCTGCCCAGCAAAGACACTTGAATGCGAATGCAAACCAATCAGTAATAGAGAGACCAGTGGCAGGGGGTGGGGCAGTAAGCACCAGTGTAAGATCTAGAAGGCCTGATGGACAGTGCACGGTAACTGAAGTTTAAATTTAGAGCCATGTGTTTTAAAAACTCAGTCCAGTATCTGTAAATTTTCTGTCCATGCTGGCATTGCACTCAAACCTAGCAGTGTATTTGAAGCGGGGGGGTGTGTGTGTGTGTGACAGATTTGGCCTGTTAACTTAAATTCTCAACATGTCTCAGCTGGAAGACTCTTTAAATGTAAGAAACTGGGGTGTCTTGTTAATGGTTTGAAAGCTACTTAGCAATACCCAGTTTTCTTGAAAATGTCTTTTGTGTTTATTTTGTAGCATTTTACCCCGTGGAGATACTCAGTCCCTTTTTGGCCAATGTATATCCACTGTACAACTCAGATTGTCTTCATTATCTGACTGTTGCATTAAGTGTCTTACTACTTTCTGCATGGATTGATATATGAAAAGAACACTAAAGCAATGTGGGAACAGACAAGATGTTGGGTATGAGCAGGATGCTTAATTTAATGTGAGAAAATATATGTGAGTTTGGAGTTAAGATGTGTTTTTTAGACAAAGAAATCATTTTATCGTCATGCAATGGAAATGTAAAAATGCTATTAACTTTTGTTGAAAATTCTTATCTGTACACACTTCATGGCATTTTCATTGGCTTTGCTGTCTAGTCCTTGTAGTTTGTTTTTGAGGTCTTTGTTGATCTGTCTTGTTTTTGTTACAAAATTTATAATTTAATAAAAACTACACTTTAACAATCTGTGGTGTCTTTGCATTTTGATTGAATTGTACCAAGGGGCACTTAGACAAAGGTATCATGAAGCAGGCATGCTATGCTGCCAAAGAGGGAGTTTTGGGTTGGCTTTGAGGGATCTTGAAATTCTCACTTCCCAGACCAGGTTATCATGTAGTGTGCTGACTGGTATGAGCACATCCTTCTGGCTGACTGAATGTTAACTGTGGTGTCAGAAGCCATGCATTCTGATTTCAAGGCTGCTCAGTTTATTTTGCTGTTGTGATGGAGAAGTAAAGGATTGCAGGAGAAAACCACAGGTGATCTATACATGTTACATCCAGTAGTGGAGCAAGTATGTTTATCTGGATGTATTTCATCTTAGACAAGCAGCTAGTTTAAATGTTTGGCCCTGGTTGTGGCAAAGCTAAGGTATGCAAATATTAGGGAATACATTTCCACTTGTTTATATACCATTAGAAATCTAATTCTATGCTCTCAAAGGGTGGGGCATGCTTCTGAGGTTTTCGTAGATCTGGTCTACACTATAGAGTTAGGTCGACGCAAGGCAGCTTACATCAACCTAACTATGGACGTATCTACACTTAAATTTCGCTTTCGCTGACATAATTGACTCTTAGGCCAACTTAATAACTCCTCCTCCACAAGCAGCTAAGAGTCAAGATCAATGTAGTTATGTTGACACAGTGTCAGTGTAGAAACTGTGTTGCTTATGTTGACTGTTACTGGCTTTCAGGAGCTGTCCCACAATGCCCCACACTGATAGTGCAATCCATACAAGCACTCCTGGTGAGGACGTGCACCGCTGACACGAGCAAAGTGTAGACCCACACAAAGTTTTTTTTTTTTTTTTTTTTTCTTTCTGCTGATAATAGCCCACCTTAATTGATTAGTCTTGTTATTGTTGGTATGGCAACACCCATTTTTTCGTGTTCTCTGTGTGTATATCTTCCTATTGTATTTTCCACTGCATGCGTCCGATGAAGTGGGTTTTACCCCACGAAAGCTTATGCCGAAATAAATTTTTTTAGTCTCTAAAGTGCCACAAGTACTCCTCGTTCTTTATGCAATGTACTGTAATTACTCTGGCGGCTTTATATCAATGTAAGTTAGGTTAACATAATTTTGTAGTGTAGACATGGCCTTAGTGGGAGATGTGGCTCTACTGCTGGCCTCAGTGTCAAAAGACAGGATAAGCCTTTTCCCACTATGGCTTCAGAAAAGCTTACAATAGTTCGAGCTGACTTGAGCTCGTAAGTACTGCATTTGCTTTTAATTTTCAAAATTCATTAAGAAACCACTTCAGTTAATTCAATCCAGTCTTTGGTCGGAGGGAAAGGACAGGGCCATATTTGCAATAAAAATGTACAAACTAAGACATTATAAGAAAGCATCTATTAACATGTCTCAGCTTCTTAATGTAAGTCATTGGAAAACAACACTTCATATACAGTTATGATAGCAATATGATACCTGAATTGTACAGAAATTGGGTACAACACTTAAAATCCTCAGCTGAAAGGTGTGGTTTTTATTCTCTAGGACTTCAGTTCTTTGAATGTAATGAGGTCCATTCTGATTTAGAATTTTTCCGTAAGATTGAAGCCCACATATTCAAATCCTCCTGTTTTTCTGTAAGCCCTAATTGAAGTGCACACCTGTGAGGGAAAGAAATCCAAAGACCATGCAAGTCTCTATTGCATTGTCTGGCTTCTGTTTAGGAAACTGAAGTAGAACATGAAACAAAGGAGAAATTGACCTCCCGTAGAAACTAATTTGCCTTACATTCTTCTCCATACCAAAAATTGATGGATATGATTAAAATTATTATCTGAGCACACCGGTGAGTTGTTTCCAGAGACTGACAGAAGAGGCAGGAATTGCAAAAGGACACCTGTGGCGGAGTGGGCTGGGGAAGATGTGTATTTCTCCCCCCTTCCCCCAATTTGGGCACCACATGGCACAAAACAAGGTTCCTTGAGTCTATTCTTTTAAGGGTTATGATCTGGAGTTTTGTCAGAGGAGACAGTAAGGAGGTTTAATTTTTTCGTTGGCTTATTAACTGATCCATTTTTAATTAAGGTTGATGAAGGGGGTGCTCTGTGACTCTTGGGCCAATTGCCTGGAGGCATGACTGGACAAGGGATTGAAAGAGTCTCTCTGGGTAGTGTCCGTTGACTCCTTAGACACTTTTGAGGAGCGATGGGCGCTATCCAGAGTGTTCTCTGGTCAGTGTCCCCTTCTGTATCCCTGATTTTTAACTGGTGACTCCTGTTTCTGTTTATTTGTCCTAAGAAGTCATTTGTGACCTGGGCTCAGTGGTTCCTCCCCTGCAGTCGAGGGGGTGGATTTCCTGGCTACCACAACAAGTACCCTTTTGGAGGAAGGCTATTTTTCTTGCCAATTTTAGCTAAGCTGCAGCCACAATGCATCACTCTTATCTCTGGCTGAGTGAATTAAGAGATTTCCACCTTGTAAGGAAAGATTGGAAAGATGCACACATGGCAATTTAGAAGGGGAGGGAGGGGAAGGACTACAACTTCTGTATGACATTGCTAACCTTAAATTTTGTGTGGGAAAGTAAATCAGAAGGGAAGCTTGGGCTATGGGAAAGACTTGTGATACCTAAGATGGTGGCTGTTACAATTCAGGACAACTGTGCCCGTGTTTCCTCTCAATGGTTCTTTGAGGGCACCCACTCTAGCTTCCTGGCTCCCATCACCTCTTTTGGACAGAGACCTGTGTTTCTCTTCCTACTGACCAGGAATTTTCCAGGCTGTACTGTTCTCAGCCTATATTGTGATATTCCCAGCAAGCCACAGAGCCTAATGAGACCACCAGCTGCACTTCGCTTTCTTGCCAGAGGCTACGAACAGCATACTGACCTGCAGTTGTAAGTTATCACATAGCTCTTTATAAAAAAGCACATTTATTCTTAAGGTGAAAGTATTCTAGAAACATATTAAAAACCATAAAAGAACCCACATGCATGCTAAAAAGCTTACCAGAGGCCACCCCAACTTCACACTCAGGCTCTGGTAGGTGTCACTCCTTCAAAACCCACAACCGTGTTTCCCCCGTGGTTACAAATTCATAACGATCTCAGGTTCAGAATCACCTGAGGGCAGTATTCCTTCTTGCCCACTTTTACAAGCCTACCCAGTGAAGCATCAAGCACTTAGTTGTCCTTCTCTGCTGGCTGTTTAGATACATCCCAAGGGAAGAGGGTAGAGAAATACCAAAATCTACATTGACAAAGGGCCTTAGGTGTGTGACGGGTTGGGTCACAGAAACCCCTTTGGGACTGCCACCTGATGTGCCTAGACTACTTCTGAGCCCATTTTCCCTGCCAGCTTGGGACTTCAGTACCTTGTGTTGTTTGAGCCAGACACACTTGCCTGCTGCAAACACAGATCCAAGTCTGAACCACATCCTCCACAAGCTGCAGGCTTAGCTGAAAACCGCTTAAGAAGTGCTCCTGTCACCAGCACTCAGATACCCAGCTCCCAATGGGGTCCAAACCCCAAATAAATCCATTTTATCCTGTATGAAGCGTATACAGGGTAAACTCATAAATTGTCCGCCCTCTATAACACTGATAGAGAGATATGCACAGCTGTTTTCCCTCTCAGGTATTAATAGTTACTCTGGGTTAATAAGTTGAAAGTGATTTTATTAAATACAAAAAGTAGGATTTAAGTGGTTCCAAGTAATAACAGAACAAAGTAAATTACCAAACAAAATAAAATAAAACACACAAGTCTAAGCCTAACACAGTAGGAAACTAAATACAGGTAAATCTCACCCTTAGAGATGTTCCAATAAGCTTCTTTGACAGACTAGCCTCCTCCTAGTCTGGGTCCAGCAATCACTCACACACCCTGTAGTTAATGTCCTTTGTTCCGGTTTCTTTCAGGCATCCTTTGGGGGGGGAGGCTATCACTTGAGCTAGCTGAAGACAAAATAGAGGGGTTTCCAGGGGCTTAAAAAGACATTTTCTTGTGGGTGTGACACACACACCCCCAGTTCCAGCCCCGTGTGTGTGCAGGGAACAGAGAGGGTTACAGCCTGGATTGGGGTTACAGGGGTTCTGCTCAGGGGTTCTGACCCCTCCTGATGGGTCCGAGCCCCTTGGGCAGTGGGGCAGTTTGGGGGAGTCTCTGCACTCCAGGCTGAGCGCTGGCCCCCCTGAATTCATCCCCTGCTTGCCCACAGGCGGCAAAGAGCCAGAGGCTTCTGCCTAGGCTGACATCCCCACACACCTCTGTTCTTCCCTGGGGCCCGCCCGCTTCCCCTCACGCACCCCAGAGCAGCGAGAGAGCTGCCAGCTCCATTCACCTGTCTCCTTCCCCTTCCTCGCCCGAGGCCCCCCTTGCTCCTCCGGCCGCGCTGCCATGCTGCGCCTCCCCTCGCTCCTCCAGCCGTGCTGTGCTGCCCCGGCGGGCCCCCCCACCGATGGCTCCTCCGGCTGTGCCGACCCCCTCCCCCCCAGGGCTCCCCTGGCCGTGCCACCCCCTCCCCATGGCTCCTCTGGCTGTGCTGCTTCTCCTTGCCTGCAGGAGTCCAGCGCCGGCCCGGCAGGCCAAGCTTCAGAGCAGAGCGTGGGCCCCGCCCACTGGCGCCATCGTAACACCTAAATAAGGCGCCGCTTTTGGAAAATGTACTGAGGGGAAGCGGCTGCTTCCTCTGCACCCCCCCTAGCTACGCTACTGACGACACCACATTCTCAGGAAAGCTCAGATGTGGATTGGCATCTTTCAAAATCCATTGTCAGCTTGAGTGTTTCTTGATTGGGCACTTACTGAGAATAGTCTTTTCTCAAGAAGCTGACCAAATACTTCATTGAGGCTACTTAAAATCAAACAAGTACATAGCCAATATTCATAACTTTGAATACAAAAATGATACATGCATACAAATAGGATGATATATTTAGTAGATCATAACCTTTTCAGAGATGTTACATGGCATATCTAGCATAAAACATATTCCAGTTATGTCATATT